TATTCTTAGAAATAAAAAAGAACAAATTGCTAATATACACAAAATCAAACATGAATCTCAAAGAATTATATTGAGAAGCCAGACAAAAAGAGTATATATATTGTATGATTTGTATGACAATATAAAATAAGCAAAACTAGGGACTTCCCTGGTGGTCTAGTGATTAAGAATCCATGCTTCCCCTGCAAGGGGCAAGGGTTCGATCCCTGGTCAGGGAGCTAAGATGCCGCATGCCCCAAGGTGTGGCCAAAAATATATAAGTAGAACTGCGGTGAGATTCTACTCTACACCTACCAAATTTGTTGGGAAAAAAACCTGAAAAATATAGTGATCTAACAATATAATATCAAGTACTGGTGAGGATGCAGAGCAACTCCAGTTCTCAAAATCGCTGTTGCAAAATAGTACAGAGCAACTGTACACACACGTACGTAAGTGAACCCATGCAAAACTGTAAACTCTGAATAAGTCCTGTGGCCTGCACCAACAACAGTTACCTGGTTTCCATGGGGTACAGTAGGTAGGCAAGATGTTAGCACTGGGGGAGGCAGGGTAAAGGCTGCAGGTGGCCTCCTGTACATTTCTGTAACTACTTCCAACAATTTTTTGTTTGTTTAAGAAACAAACCACTTGAAGGCTTGGTAGGAATGCTGGCTATATGGGTGTACATTCAGTCTGTGAATATTCACAGAGCTAAACGCTTCATTACGAGCCCTCTAAGTGTACGTAATACAGTACTTCAATACAAAAGTTTATAAGAAAGGTTTTGTTGAACTTTGGTCATGTCTCTCCTAGACTCTTTCCCTTCACAAAAAATACAGTCCAAGTTTTGTAGCGTGACCTGAAAGTCCTCTACAATCCGGTTCCCACATTATCTCCACTTCTTCCTCCTCCCAGGCCAGTGTCTGCTGTGCCATTGGACACCGTGCCCTTTCTGAACCCCAGGCCTGGCTCCCAAGTGCCCGTATCCACGGCGTTCCCCACAGAGGGGTAGCCAGAGCAAGATGCACACAGTTCAGTTCAGTCGCTCAGTCATGTCTGACTCTTCGCGACCCCATGGACTGCAGCATGCCAGGCCTCCCTGTCCATCACCAACTCCCAGAATTTACTCAAACTCATGTCCATTGAGTCGGTGATGCCATCCAACCATCTCATCCTCTGTCATCCCCTTCAATCTTTCCAAGCATCAGGGTCTTTTCAAATGAGTCAGTTCTCTGCATCAGGTGGCCAAAGTATTGCACACAGGGTTCCCAGATTCAGCAGGAAGAATGAGCTATTTCATGTGTAGTTTGTAAACAAGAGGGAAGGGGGTAGGGCATAACCTTTGAAAGAATGATGAAGCCCAAGGACACGGGGTACACTGATTAGAACCAAATGGCTCCAAGATGGCAGACAAGTCAACTTCAACTAGACCTTCATCCTCAGTAACAGCTCAGCAAGCTAAATGACTCACCAGAGGCGCCATGACAGTTTCAAGAACATCAAAGACCAAAAAGTGGGTGGTGGTCCAATTCCTGGAAATCTCCACCTCTTCCCCAAAATTGTTGGAATAACCATCTTGCTCATTAACTTATGAATTACCCAGTCCATAAGAGCTAACTACACCACATTTCCAGGCTGCACTTGTGTTCTTCGATGGTCCACTCTGTGGCACGAGTTTCTCCTGAAACCGTGCCTTCATTATGAAATGGCCCACATACTGTGGAGTGTTTCTCTGTTAATAAATCTACTTCTTACCTACCACTTTGTCTCTCGCTGAATTCTTTCTGCGATGAGACATCTAGAGCTTGAGTTTCATTAGGTCCTGAAACCAGATGTATGATCTCACAAGAGTTTTGGCCACCTTCGAGTCCCAGCCATTTGGGTTTAAGTTCCAAGCTGGGCTTTGGCAGGGTCCAAGTTCCGGCACATGGGTTCAAGTCCCAATTTGAGGTGAATGGTTTCAGTTTCTTACATTCACTACCTTTGAGGAAATAACATCTCAAACATTGTGGGTTAAAAGGAAACAAATTATTAACACTAAGGTCACTTGTTCCCTTCTGACTGCGACATCAAGTCACTGGAACGGCGGGGGCTCCAAACTTCTGCAGCGAAGTAGCCACCACACGCCCCATCCGGCACAGCGGAAAGCCTACGAGCGCCTCCGTGCGGAGGACACGCGGGAAACGCACGTTTGCCGTGTCTGCGTGCGGAGCGTGCGTGGGAGGGCGCGGGGCGGGGTTGGGCCGGGGCCAGAGAAGCGTGCTATCGGGAGCGCGCGAGATGGCCTGAGGCACCAAGGAGCCTGCGCACCGAGGGGCGGGGCGGGGCGGGGCGAGTCCGGGAAGGGGCGGGGCCGCAGCCACGCCCCCGATTCCCGCCGCCTGCTGGTGAGACCGCCTACTCCCAAGGACAGGTCTTGGGTATTCCCTTGACCCCGCCCCGAGCCCCGCCTCTGGCCTATAGGAACTGAGTAGTCCCGCAGACACCGGAAGGAGGCGGAGCCTCTGCCCTTGCTGGCCAGACATCCTGGTTCCACAGCACCCTCTATTGACCCTTTTAGGCGCTGCCTGCAACCCGTAGGACGCGTCTTGCACTGGCTAAAAGGGGTCGCTCTACTGGTCTTGGGAGGTGGAGTTCCCGCCCAGATCCTAGCTAAGCCCGTTCCCTCAAACACGCGTTTAATTTTTGTAAATATACCTATATACACCCCCAAAAGAGAGAAACCTACAGTGATAATGCTAAGTGAAAGAATCCAGATTCAAAAAGCTAAATTTGTATTGTCATATACTATAAATAAATATATTTATAGTATGACATTTTAGATAAGACAAAACTACATAGGAATCATAGGAATAGAGCCTTGGTTGCCAGGAGCTGGGTGGATCACAAAAGGGCAGGGGGGAACACGGGGATGAAGAAACTTAATTTCTATTTTGATTATGGTGATGGTAACACAGCTATATACATTTGTCAAAACTCCCACAACCAAAATCTAAAAAGTGAATTTTTACCTAAGATAAATTACACTTTAATTTCTTTAAATGCTAGAAAACAAAAAGCAGATTGGTGGTTGTCAGGGGATCAGAGAAAAGGAATGGGGAGATTGATTAATGGATCATTTTAAAATGAGAAATGTAAATGTTTTGAAACTAGATAGAGGTGATGGGTACACAGAATAGTAATGTAGTAAATGCTGACTCATTGAAAAGACCCTAATGCTAGGAAAGATTGAGGGCAGGAGAAGAGGGTAACAGAGGATGGGATGGTTGGAAGGCCTCACTGACTCAATGGACATGAGTTGAAGCAAACTCCAGGAGATAGTGAAGGACAGCAAGGCCTGGCGTGCTTCAGTTCATGGGATCGCAAGGAGGCAGACATGACTTAGTAACTGAACAACAACAAAATGCCATTGAACTATTCACTTTTAAATGCTTGATTTTCTGTTAATTTCACTTAAAAAAAAGTATTAAAAGTTAAAAAAATACAGGCCCCTGCCTTCCTTTCTATCCAACAAATTCATGTCTAGAAGCATTCAATGTGGGGTTAGGTGTGAATCCGCTATTCTGCTCTCACCTCAGTCCCCTCGTACCTGTCACATACCTGAGGAAAAGCAGGTCAAGAGCAAGATGTTATTAAGCCATCTCTGGTCATTCAGGATTAAGAAATTTAACCTTGAGCCCTTATGATTCCCAGCTTTCAGGAGAGAAAACTGAGTCTCAAAGATCAAGAGATCTGCCCAAGGTGAAACTGATCAACAGCAGACCGACTCCAGGACCTGAGCTCTTAAACACTGCACCTTGAGGCAGTGCTCCCTTCCCTTCTGCAGAGGAGGATCCTGTGGTTCAGAGAGGTTACACAGGCCTGGGAAGTGGCAATCAATCGGGAGCCCTGAACATCCTGTGTCCTTTCTCTAGCAGAGGGGAACTATTGGCTTAGTTGTTTATTCTCTCCTGTCTCCCACCCAGGAGAAATTGGGAGCTGCTCACCTCAATCCCAACACCATCTCCCCTCTTTGCAGAATCCCCAGAGTAAACCCAGGGAATCTCAGGACACTGATTTCTCATCACAACACCACACGTAAGTTGGGGGAGTCATCACGCTCACCCACATCCAGTCCCCTTCGGGCAGGCCCAAATAGTACCCCCCAGGGAGCTTTCACCAGCCCCTCAGGACAAAACACACCCAGGAGATACAGAATCTAAAAAACAAAGTACAAACTTTATTTTGTTTCTTTATAAAGGCACAGTGGCCTCTTGGTTTCCCCCCCGCCCCACTTTTTTAACAAAATATAATAGCTTCTCCTTGAACATAAAGACCTCAAAAATTGTAAAAAAAAAAAAAAAAAAAAAAAACCAAAACCAAAAAAGAACCAACAACAAACACAACAAAGAGAGAGACAAAGACTTTTTTGGGGTGCAAGATGGGAAACCCGGAGGGAGAGGTGGGGGGCTGGGTGGTGAGGGAGGGGAGGGGAGAAGGGCAGCAGCAAACCCCAACCGAGAAGCAATGGAGACCCCCGGACCCCCAGAGCCCCGACCCAGCCAGACCCCCAACCCATGTAAGTGCTTAAAGGAGAAAGAACACCAAAAAAGAGGAGGGAAGGGGGAATTAAAAACTGACGGTCGGCAGGCTGGCTCTGGAGAGGGCAAAAATACCTTGGGGTTTTGTTTGACTTTTTTTCCCTGTTCTTAAAAACATGTTTCATTGAAAAAATGCTTTTTTGGTGGAGAGAGGCCAGGCACCTCCACGTCTGCTTCCCCAGCCTCCGGGGCCGAGGCCGAGGCCCAGCCCCAGGTGCCCAGGTGCTGCCAGGCGCTCCTGCCGCCCCAGCCCCGACCTCGGGTAGGGCGGCTTCACTCAAAGGACGATTTACAGTATTGAAAAAAGAGGTCATAAAAGAGACCCAAATGACGCCGTAAATTTTGTAAAAATTTCTCACTCGTTCACCCTCGTCTCTCTCCCAGTTGCTGCCCCGCCCCCTCCAGCCCCCAGAAGGGAGAGGAGGGCTGGGGGGCTGGTCAGGGAAGCCCCCCGTTCCCTGCTGGCTCCTCCCGGCCCTGGTCCATGGCATCGCTGTCTGAGGCCTCCGAATCGGAGGCGGTGTCCGAGGCATGGGCCTCGGGGCAGCCGCGGACGGGCTTCACGATGACGGCTCGCCGCTGCTCCTCCTCCTGGCCCTGGGTGCCCTCGATATGCTGGATCGCCTGGGATTGGGCCGGGGGCGGGGGAGGCTGCCGTGAGGATGCGGGGGCCATGTGGAACACCAGCATCTCCAGCAACGTCTCCCTCACCAGCTCCCCCACCACCCACACACCCCCCAGAAAGGTCCAGAAGGAAGACTGGCAAAAGGGGCAGCCGGTTCAGAGTCAGGGGGAAAACAAACTTTAGAAGCTCTCTCCTGAGCTGAATCTGGCTTGGAAGAAGGACAGTGCAGGCCTGCCTGAAGTCATAAGCCTCTTTCCCTCATTTATGTACTTCAAAAGCCTGCCTGTTGGCTTTATGGAAGGTCTCTGTTATTAATTTTATTATTCAGTTCGCCGGGTGAAACTCAAGTTCCCGGGACTTCAATGGACTTTTTTTTTCCATTTGGGCTTTGGGTTGTTTCTTTCTTTGTAATGTTGTTGGACTTCCCAAAGGGGTCTCTCTGCACAAGGCTGGGCATAGCAGGGACTTCAGGGCTCGACCTTCAAAGTCAAGCATCTCGTTTCTTCCTCCTCCACCTCCACCCCCATCCCAAATCCCAAGAGACAGATGCAAGAACTCTGAAAGCAGGGGGCTCCGGGAACAAAGGACACCCCCAGCAAACCCCCACGAGGGAAGGAATGGGGTCTTCCTGGCCATCCGATCCCTCCCTCTCTGCCCCTAACCTAGGAGGCAGAGATGGAACCATCTGGCTTCCAGACCTCCTCCCCCAACTCAACGCTCAATATCCCTGCCTCTATCCCCTCCACTCCCCCACTCTCTAATCTCTCCCCAAAGGGCCTATTCCCAAGGGGCAGCCCCCAAGCACCGCCCTCTCCCCAGGCCCAGGTACCTGCACGATGGTGTCCAGATTTTGCCGGGACGTTGAAACAGAGTTGATGACCGAGGAGGGGCCCATGGTGACGACGTTGATGTGGTGGGAGGGAGGGGGTGCCGGCGCCGGCACTATCACCGTGGGGTGGTGGGTGGGGGCCGGAGTGGGCAGGAGCTGCGAGACAGGGGCCTTCAGTCTCTCTGCAGAGTTTCTAGGAGCAGCCCCTTCCCTTCCGTCCGTCACAGTAGGTGCGGGACAGCCCTCCAAACCATCTCCCTCTGCCCACCAACTGGAGAGCCTCCACCAATCACCCCAGCAGCCCGTCAACCTCCTTCACTCACAGTTTGGGGCCGCCCAAATCGTGACCCCTCCCACCCCCTCTTATTTTAAGAAATGAAGGCAGGGTGGCCTGGAGAGGGACTTCTGACCATCTGAGACTGCACGGGCCTTCCCTCTCCGGAGCCATGCCAGCATTTCACATCTAATGAATACAGTGGTGGCTGGGAGTTCAGACTGAATCTAGATGGCCAGGGTTAAAATCCCTGCCCCACATCACTGAGAAATCTTGGGCGTGTTAGTGAACCTTCCTGTGCCTCTAATTCCTCATCAGTAAAACAGGAGTAGTGACAGCTCAGGCCTCAAAGGGCTGCTCTAAGGATTCAATATAATTATGTAAAGACACCTGGGAGCCAGGAACATCTTCACTCTGCGACCGAGGTCCTGGGTCCGCCCTGCTGGACACTGACGCTGGGTCTGGGAGCCCCAGCCCAGCTTCGGGTGGCCCCTGCAGGCCCCTCCCGCTCACCTGGGTCCGCAGGTGCTGCTGTTCCCGCTCCAGCTTCTCCTGGTGCAGCAGCCGGACCTGCTCCTGCTGCTGCTGCAGCTGCACCTGCTGTGCGATCACCTTGAGCTTTTCCGGGTACATGTGGGCCTCCAGGGAGCGGACCTGGGGGTGGAGCAGTGGGGCTCAGGGGAGGGGCCCTCCACAACATCCTCAGGGTGGAGACCAAAGTCCTGCACTGTAGCCTGCCGGGCCCACGCTGACTCCCCTCCCTCCTGCAGGCTGTGCTCCCTCCGTGCCTACCTCCAGCCCTAGGCCTTTGCCCATGTGGTTCCCTCTGCCTGGAGCACCCTTCTCCCCTCTCTGCTCCTCCCACCCTCACAAGGAAGCTGTGGGGTGGAACCAGCCCAGGCTCCCCCCTCGCTGATTGCCCACCGATCTGGTGTGGCCTTTACCACGGATACGTGTTTACAGTGTGAGTGCCTGACTCATCTCCCCAGTCTCGGACAGTGACCAACCCCCCCAGGGCAGGAATCTGTCTGGTTTGCTCCCCACTGATCACCCCACTGGACACCCGACTCCCAGCCCCGGCACAAAGCAGGAGCTCGGAGCTGACAGCATCGCCTCACCTGCTCCTCCAGCATCATGCGCACCGAGCGCTCCTTGTCCAGTTGCTGCCGCAGCTCGATCATCTCCCGCCGCAGATCCTCCGCCTTCTCGTCCTCCCAGATGTCGGGTGAGCCGATGCCCTCGTCTTTGTCCTCTGCCCGCCGCCGCTTGGGGGATGAGCCGCTCAGCTCCTGGGGAACCCCCAGGGGCTGATGAGTGTGCAGTGACACTGCATACACCATCACCACCACCACCAGGGCAGTGGGGAGCTCCACTGCAGCCCCCCAAAGCTGTCAAACCCAGGTGCACGTGCACGAGGCAGCCCCCTGTGCAAATCCACCAAACAGCCACGGCCAGAAAGGGAGGCAGAAGGGACCTGCTTTCCCAAAGTCACCCGGTTGCTTCCAGAGCCCAGCCCACTGCACTGCACTCGCCCATGGCTAAGTCAGGACTCCAGGCAGGAAGGCAAGTGCCAGAAGTAGGCAGGTCAGTGGGGAAGAAGGGACCTGCAGCTACATCATAGTCCCAAGCCAGTGGTTGGGCCCAGAGATGCCCACACCAGGGAGAGGGTGCCAGGAAGAGGGCAGAGCGCTACCTGGATAAAGCGCTTGAGCTGCGTGTTCTGCTGCAGGAGCCGGGTCTTCTCCTGCTCCAGGGAGAAGATGTACTCTGCTGTCTGCTGGAGAATGGCTGCCTGAGGGCAGGAGGGACAAGTCAGGGACCCCGACTGTTGGCATCTCCTGAGTCTCCCCCTCCAGCCCACCTCCTCCTCCAGGAAGTCCTCCTGGCACTTGCCCACCTTGCTAAGCTTCTCTCCATCTGTGTGGGGGATGAGGGTCTTGAGGGACTGGAAGCCCGCGTTGATGCTCTGCATGCGCCTCCGCTCGTTGCTGTTGGCGATCTCCCTCCGAATCCGCCGTTCCTGGTCCCGCTGAGTCTCAGGGGTCAGTGGAATGTTGGCCAGGCTATGGGAGAATAGCGGTGGGCTCTGGCTGGGCGCCCTCCGAGCCCTGCCCCCGGTGGGCCCCTGTCTTCATCTCCAGAGGGCCCAAGTGCAACAGGCAAGCTGCCCCTACAGACTATACCAGCTCTGTCTGATGCCTACACCCCCCAGCAGACCAGGCAGCTGATGGAGTAGCATGTTCTGAGATGCCTGGGTGTCAACATCAGCGTGTGGACCCCAAGTCTTGACCCCAGTGTCTGGCCAGCAGGTCTGAGTGGGACCCGGAAACCCACATGGCTAAGAATCCCTGTGATTCAGATGCAGGTGGCCTCAGGTGATAATCAGAGACACCTGCTCTTGGTACACCTCTGAGCTCCTCGCTGTGCCCCCGGGACCCCCTCCTTCAGGTCACAGGCTTGAGGACAGAGGAAGATGTCCCTCCTCCCTTCCCATCTCCAAGCCACATACACTCCTACGTAAGCCCCCAGCCCAAGACCCTGTGCTAAGACTGCCAAGACAAGCCGGGTACCAGTCACTCCAGGGAGAGGACCTGGCCAGCCCCACCTAGGAGAAGTTTGTCCCCAAGCCCACCCACTCTGAAAGGCAGGCCCACCCTGGGCCAGAGAAGCGAGGCTCCCAGCTCGCAGCAGGCGATGTTATTGCATATTATGTGATCGCATCTCGCAGGAGAGGCAGCCAGTGGAAGGGGACGAGACTGCAGGCTAAGAGGCGTTGGCGGGAGACAGAGCCAGCAGCGGGGCTGTGGGCCCAACGCCACTGCTCCCGAGGGGCGGGCCTGTGTGTGGCCTGGAAGAGGCAGGCTCTCCTCCCCGGCCCTCTCCTGCAACTCCCCCGCCCCTGGCCTGATGGCTTCCAGATGCCGGGCTCCCAGAAGAGGCCACCGGCCCCACCCAAAGCCACAGCCCCAGCTTCTTCCTGAGGGGCCCTCCTGGGGTGACCTGGTCCAGGCCCCGGCCGAGACAGCTCACACCCCCGGGTCTGGGGAACACGGGGAGACAGTTCTGAGCAGCCCCATTCCACTGATAGGGGAGCAGCCTGCGCTCAGAGGCAGGTGCCCGGGACCTTCTGACCACCCCCAGGAAAAGAAGGGTTTGCTGCGAAACCGAGGAGGGGAGCGCGTCCCCCACAGCTGGAGACAGCCAAGGGCTTCCTGTCCCCCTCACTCCCCTGAGCGACTCCATGAACTTGCCCTTGCCCTTTCCTGGGTCTCCACCTCCTCTCCCCACATAAGGGTGGTCGGCTGGGGGTGAGCTGGGAGCAAGCTTCACATCAGCTGCTGCTAGGGGTCCATACACCAGCCCTGTCCACCACTAGCAGCCCCAGAGTCTCCCTAGGAGCCCCCCCCAGCCCCCTGCCAAGATACAGTTCCTTCACAGCACTGGAAAAGGGGGCCCATGACCCCCAGTTTACAAATGGGACTGAGGGCTCAGAATGGGAGGCACGCGGTTTCCCGGTCAGACAGCTGGGCACCTGGCTCCCCTACTTCTGGGCCAGGGGCACCTCACTTCTCTGTTTCCCTGACCCAACAGTGGGAAGCTTCCCAGGTGGCACTAGTGGTAAAGAATCCGCCTGCCAACGCAGGAGACATAAGAGATGTGGGTTCGATCCCTGGGTGGGGAAGATCCCCTGGAGGAGGAAATGGCAACCCACTCCAGGATTCTTGCCTGGAGAATCCCATGGACAGAGGAGCCCGGCAGACTATATAGTTCATAGGGTCGCAAAGAGTAGGACACGACTGAAATGACTTAGCATGCACCCACACAGTGGGGGTGATGGAGAAAAAGAGAAAATGAAGGTCAGAGACCTGATGCACAGTGGCTTGCCTGCCCTTTGCAGGTGGGGGGAGAAGGGAGATCAGAACTGAGTCTGGGCTCCCAGGCCTGCCAGCGCCCTTCAGACCCTCTGTGGCAGGTGGAGTAAAGAGAAGGGGAGAGACGTCCCCGGGAAGCCAATGCACCAGGTGACTGACATCCATCTGGGAGTTTCCTATTCCCCCACCCGGAGAGATACAGGGAGAGACGCCCCCACTCATCCATTCCCTGGGTTCCCCCCTGGTGATGCCCAAAGACCATAGCTGACCAGAGCATTAAGGGTCAAAAAGGAGCCCCACCTCAACCCCTGGGCCACTCTGAGTGCTGGCCCTTCTAGAAGGCCCACCTGTAGAGCCTGGCCACAGAGTTACTGTTTTTTAAAAGTCTTGAGAATTAGGACTGGCGCTTTCCCTGCCGGGGGCCCGGGTTTAACCCACCCCTGGTTGGGGAACTAAGATCCTGCAAGCCACTTGGCGTGGCCAAAAAAATTAAAAAATAAAAAGTTCTTAACATAATGTGCTAAAGACTCACTTCGCTGGAATGAGCTCACTGAACCATCGCAACCTTCCTCTGAGTCAAGTGGCCTGATGGGATGAGGACTCTGAGGCTTGGTAAGGGAACAGCTTTGGTATGTGCTGAGGCTGGGACTTGAACCCCGATCCCAGCGTCACAAGCCAGATGCCCTGACAGCCAGGTGACAGTCACCGCGTAGAGAGGCTGCGCACAGCTGTGCTCTGTCAGCGGGTCAGCTCTTACTGTCATTCACAGGCCTTTTGTATTTTTCTCTGACCCCCATGGACACCTAGTGGCTACGCTGCAATGAGGAATCCAGGGTTCTGGGAGGGGAACTGGCATGCCCAAGGTCCGGCAGCCACACCAGGATACCGCAGGCACCTGCAGGAGCCAAAATGCATGCTCTCCTCCCCTGCCTGCGGGCGGCTCACATACAGCTCTGCAGCCCCCCTGCCTCCCGGCCGAGACTCACCAACTCTCCAGGCTGAAGCCAGAACTCAACAACCCACCCCCTACCTGCCTGCACCCCGCCAGCCCACTCATCTGCTCAGAAAACCTCAGTCCTGGGAAGCCAACCTCTGGCCCCTCCCTTCTTCCCAGGATGCCCACGAGGTGGGCAGACACCACCGGAGGCCACAGGACCCCAGGCCTGAGAGCCCCAGCCAAGACGTCCCCAGAGGGAAGGGGGCCTGGCTCTTCTGAATGGTCCATGCTGTCCCCTTCAGCACCAAGTCCCTCAGCCCAGCCTCCTGGTTCAGGAACCTGCTGCTGGCTAAGCTCATTCAGACTTAAGCTCAGAAAACAGACTTCATCCCAAAGCCACAGTTCCTCATAGGGATTTGGGCTGCCACCAAGACCAACTCACCTAAATAGCCCTGGAAGTTTCTTTAATAGAATGCAGACTAACCCAAAGTTCTGATGAGTGGAATCACGACTAACCAGGGGTTCTGCCTGCTGGCGTGCCAGGGGTTCCTATAAAGGATGGCTAATTAGCATTTCCAGCTGCTACTGTACTAGATAAAGTGGGTTTTTCTGCAAATGCCTGGAAGTTTCTTACATTTCTTTCTGAGTTTTGCAGAAGTACACACGATTTACAGTAATTGTAAGGTCCTTCCACTCTTTCACATCAACTTCAGAACCCTGAGGTGAGCGGTGAGGCCTGGTCCACTGACACTGTCTCTCTCTCCTCTCCCTCCCTGACAGCCCTCAGCCAGTTGGTCTCCTGGGGCCGGGCAGCTGGTGGCAGAGCCTCTGGCGCCAAGACCAGAGCTGCCGCTCCCACTCTCAGGGTACCCCACGACAACCCCTCCCTCCCTCCCTTCCTCCCTCTCAACCGGAGGAGGCTCGAGGACAGGAAGCAGGCTCTTCAAGTCTAGATCCCAACTTATACCTGTCCCTCCTGCCCAGCCCGAGTGCAAATGGGTAGCCCCCATTCCCCCCACCCGCCCCCCAATACCCGCCCAGCTCCAGCCTCAAATTAGCCATTGAGAGCTCTCATTTCATGCTGCCCCAAAGTCATTCACAAACCTACCACACAGTGTCTACGCAGCCAGAGGTGGGAAAGCCCACTTGGGGTTTCTCCTATACCCCAAAAAGGAGGACAGGAGGAAGATGACCCTCTCACCAAGGATGCCCAAGGCCCCCATCCTTCTCCTGCAGCAGCTACTGAAGCAGCCTGAGGCCCTAGCCCGTGCCCATTGCTTCTATCCATACACCCTGTCTACAGTCCCAGAACAAACCATGTCTGGACTGTCCCCATCAGAAACACCCCCTCCCCCCAGTTTCTCCAGCCTCTCAGAGGGAGGCCTGCATTGGGTTCTAGTGGAAACTCCAGTCCTGCCACTTACTAGCTGTGGGATCCCAAGCTTAGGCACGTTGTCTCTTGAAGCCTCAGTTTCCCCATTCAAAAAATGGAAACATACTGCCTCACTTCATAGGGTCATAGTGAAGTTTAAAAGAGATGGAGGAGGAGGACTTCTCTAGTGGTCCAGTGGGCTAAGACTCTGAGCTCCCGGTGCAGGCGGGCCTGGGTTTGATCCCTGGTTGGGGAACTAGATTCCACATGCGGCAGCTCAGTGTTCTCCTGCCACAAGTAAAGATCCCTCATGCTGCAATGAAGATCGAAGATCCCGCATGCCACAACTAAGACCCAGTGCAGACAAGTAAACAGAAAAGTAAATAAATAAGAGAGAGAGAGAGATTGAGGGTAAAAAGATGCCTTGCTTCTCCAGAGTCTGTACCCCAGATTCCAGAATTCATGCATCTAAGGAAGCTGACAAGACTCTGTAGCACCATGAGACTTCCATCTCTTAGGAGGGGGGCAAGTTCTAGTTCATTGTGGTGTCTTCAATGCCAGCATATGGTGTGTGTATGCTTAGTCGCTCAGCCATGTCCGACTCTTTGCGACCCCATGGACTGTAGCCCACCCGGCTCCTCTGTCCGTGGGATTTTCCAGGCAAAATATTGGAGTGGGTTGCCATGCCCTCCTCTCCAGGGGATCTTCCCCACCCAGGGATTGAACCTGTGTCTCTTACGTCTCCTGCACTGGCAGGTGGAGTCTTTACCACTAGCACCACCTGGGAAGCCCCAGCACAAAGTAAGTGTTTCGTAAATACCAGACCAGGGACCCAACACACACTCCAAAGCCCCTAATTGTTCTGTAGCTCCCTCTGAGGGGAGCTGGTCTCTTTCTCCCTGGCAGCGGGCAGCTAAACTCTTTAAGACCACCATGCTCATGATTCTAAGAATCCGAGTGCCACTTAACAGCTACCAGGCACTTTCCACACGCAGAGCCAAGCTTCACAGGTGCTTTATTTTACAGACGCTGAGAGCAGTTAGGCAACGGGTCCAAAACCACACAGCGTGTGGGGGTGCCGCTGTAAGGTACGCCCATTCTGTCCCACCCCCGCCCCCACCCACTGTCCAGTATGGTTCCCTCCGGTAGGTCTGGGAAACGGGAGAAGAGAAGCAGGGAGCCCTGCTAGTCAACGAGGGATGGAGCAAAGTCCACCAGCCTGAGAAGCCAGTATATCCGGCCAGAAGGTCCTGCCCAACCCACACTCAATCCTACCTCATCCGGCAACTCCGTCTGAAAACGAACAAACCCAGAGGCCCCAGCTCCACACCCAGCACATAGGCTAACCACTGCCTCACAGCTGGGCAAGCCAAGCAGTCCCCGTGCCCGAGTCTGGGGCACTTGGTCCCTAAGGAACTGCTGGATTCCTCCGAAGGGGGGCTTGGAACAGAAACAGGTCAAGCTGGAGTCCCAGGGGACCCAGAGAGGACTCAGCCAAGGCTCAGGCTTTGTGGCCAGAGGGCCCTATGTTGCCACGCCTGCCTGAGGTCAGGCCCGAGCAGCATCCAGCATCTGGGGCAGCTCAACCCACCTCCTCACCGCCCAGCCCTTCCCTTCCCGGAGCAACCAGCAGTTCAGGGTAACAGCAGGGATCAGAGTTCAAGTCCCAGCCCCACCACTTGCCCTACCTATTCCTTCCCCAACCTGTGTCCTCCATCCACACAGAAATCATAAAGAAATCATAAAGCCACTTCCTTAGCAGAGGAAGACTATTAACAATTCGATGAAAAAAGTCTTGCAAAACGAGACCCTACAACGTATAACAAGCTCCATGATTGTTTTTTCTTTTCAATTACTACAGCTAAGCTCTCCAGGTGGAGGGACCGTGGGGGAAGGGCCAACACTCAGGATGGTACTGCTGATTGCCCACCACCTTGAACTTGAGGGTAGTTAAGGCAGGAGCCCTGTCGGGGGGGAGGGGGGCGGGGGCGATGTATACGTGTGCAGCAACCTCTTCCTAGCCTGGTTTCTGCAGCCGGTGGTGTCCACCAGCCCGGGCCACACCGCCTGCGACTCCTCCTCCCTCAATCCCCGCCTCGCCTGCCCGGGGCGGCAGAGCACGTGGCCCCAGCCCTGGGGAGCCATTTCTCTCCGAAAGCAGCAAGGCAGGAAAGGAGCCACAGGTCCCAAACTTGGACCCGCAGAGAACAACCCACGCGGTATCGCCGTCCCGCAGACAGTGTTCAGTATGCAGACACACAGGCCCTTCTAGCGATCGGAATTGTGGGCGTGTGCATTTTAACAAGTGTCCAGGGCGATTCCCCTAACCCATTACTCTTCGGCAAAGGACAGATCCCGGAGCAACCCAGGCCAAATTTAGGAAGTAGCTCCCGGGGAGGGCTACGGATCTTGGACCACCCACCCACCCAGCCTGCTGGGCAACCGGACGCTTTCGGTTTATGACTGGGGGGAGGGGCGTGAGACGCGAAAGTTTGCAGCCGAGGCCCACGTGCGGCGGGCAGAGACCCGGCGAGGCTAGGGGCGGCCTACGGTGCTCACTCCCCAAAAAGCCCCCCTACCCGGCCTGCCTCGCCCATCCGGCCCGCGGGGGCCGAGCTTTGTGAGGGTAAAGCATGGCCTGGGCGCGCCTACAACTCCCACAATGCCGCACAGACGCGGCGCGGAGAACTACAGCTCCCGTGAGGCGGCGCGCGGAGGTCCGCCTACTCCAAGAGGGCTGCAGAGTCACGTCCAGGCCTCGCTAGTAAACAGCGCCCGGGCGCGGGCGGCGAGCTAGCAGGCGGCCGCCAACATGCCCGGGTCCGCGGCGCTCCCGGCGGGCCGCGCTGGCCCCCCGGGTCCCGCCCACTCCCGCACCCCCTCTCCAGCACGCCCCCCGACCCCGCTGCAGCCCCGGTCCCAGCAAACACTCACAACCACCCGGCTCCCCGCCCCCCCTCCCCGCGCCCGGAGCCGCGGCGTGGCTGCATTGTAGCCCCTGGCCCCGCGGCCCCAAGCGCGACACGGGCCCCCCAGTCCCCCTTGGAGGGGGGCCCAGAGAGAGCGATGAAGGAGGGAGAGGAAGGAAGCCGCCGCGGGAGGGGGGAGGAGGAAGCGCGGGGGGGAAGCCACCAGCACCAAGCATGGCCGGGACTGCTGCAGAACCACGTGGGTCTGTTTGCAATTTACAAACGTCGCGACTCGCCCGCCTGCAGCGGACAAAAGTGACCGGGGCCGCTCGGGGCCCCCACGTTCCGAGGGAGGAAGGTCCCCAGGCGGCCCAAGCCTGGCGCGCGGGGCTGCAGCCGCCTCGGCGGATAAGAAAGGCGAGAGGGTCCGCGGCGCGGGCCATGCGTGCGCACACGCGCGCCCGCCCGGGCGGACTGGCCGGGGGCTGCAATCGTGGGAAGGGGGTGAGGGGGAGGAGGAGTACACACCTACAGAGCCCTCCTATCACTTCTTTCTCTGTTTTCCTGAAATGTTGCAAAGAGGGCACCTTCTGTGTGGGCACCATGAAATACTCCATAGCGATCGGCCCCCCTCCTCTGCACGAGCCAGGTCCCGCGGTCCGCCGGAGAATGCAAGATGGAAATCCGAATCAAAGGGCAGCGCCGGACGGAGGTGCAGAATCGGCCGGTCCCAGATGCTGGCTGCGGCGGCGGCGAGGGGAGGGAGGCGGGCGGGAGGGGCGGGAGGGAGGTCTCTCCGGCCTGCCTCCCCGGGCGTGTGTATGTATGTGTGTGTGTGTGTCTGTGTGTGTGTGTGTGTTTGCAGCTGATCAGATGTCTGTTTCAAGGCGGGAAACAGCTGGTGAAAACTCAGCACTCCCCCGGCCTCCTTCCGCGGAGTAAGGAATTGCATGTAAACAAAGGACTATTTGCAGCGCCCCCCGGGCGGCGCAAGGCCGGGGCGAGATGGGCGCGGGCCCCCGGGGGCGGGTGGTGGCCCCGGTCTGCGGGCCACCCCCTTCAGCTCCGGGTGCAGGGGCCGCGGGCGGCCTTGGGGGCGCGGCGTGAATGGAGCGAGCTGCGGCCGAGCTACATGCGCCACTATGGGTGATGAGGTCCATCAGCTGACAGGTTGGCAAGCGTAGCAAAAAAAAAAAAAGAAAGAAAGAAACGGCCAGCCACAGCGAGGGAGCCCAGCGTGTGCACCCGGGGTCCGACAGGGACTGCCCGGTACAGGGTCTGCGCCCTCGAAGGCCCTCAGGGGGCGGGAGCGCGCTGCTGAGCCCGGTGAAGGCGAAGGCGGCCTGGGGCGCTGCTCGGGGCTTTTTTTTTTTTTTTTCTTCTTCTTCTTTACGGTTGCAACTGCTCCGAGAGGAGCCGCTCTGGCGCGCTCCCTCCAAGCCCAGGGCCCCCTGGAAACTTGCGTCACAGCCACCGCTTCCCACATGTAACTTGGGGCCGACTTCAGAGACCGAGCGGCCCCCTCCCTCCCTCCCTGCCCAGCTGCCCGCCGCTGGCCACTCGGCCTGGGCTCCGGAACCTGGGAATCCCGGAGCCGGGAAGGGGAGGGCAAAGAGGGGGCGCGCCGGGCGCCTCAGATCCTGGGGCTGCCTTAGGCAGCAGGGGCCCGGGCAGGGAGGGAAGGGTGGAGGCGGGCCAAGACAGCAGCAGCCCCGGAGGCCGGCTGCCGGCGCGGCCCGGAGGTCCGGTGGCTGCTGCGCGTCGCCTCCTGTCCCCGCTTCTCTTTAGCCCTCCGCTGGGAGGCTGGACAGCGAGAGGCCCACCGAAGCTTGGCCTGGGCAGGCGGAAGGCTGCAGCTGCCTTTTCGTGGCGAAGCCAGGGCGGGACTTGCTCCCCCGGCAGGGTGCGCTCTCTACCAAGGGTGAAGGCCTGGGGCGGAGGAGGGAAGGACTCCTGGCCGGCGAGCTTCCGTCCCCCTCTTCCCGCGTCCCCTCCCCCGGCTCCTGGAGGTTGGCCCCTGGCTCAGGAAGACCGCGCCTGCCTTGGAATGTCCTTTCTCCTGCCCACCGCCTTTCCCAATCCCATCCGCCTTCCAGGTTCCCGCCCAGATCGCGCCTCCCGATTGAAACCCTCTTAATAACAAGGATTACTGTTATTATTAGGAAATGTTATTGTTTTTAGATACTCGGAGCCCCTTGTAGAGGCCTGGCAGTTTTGCCTGAATGTTTTGCGATCCTGCAAGTCAGCTGTTGGGTAACATTGGGGGTCCCTGGGAGGCCTCACTGCGGGAGCAGAAAGGAAGACATCAGGGGACAATAGAGGATACAGGGCCCCTTAACTGTGTACACTGAACAGCACCCACAGTGCCTGGTGAATGAATGAAGGAGAGCTGGGGAAGTGCATCCACCTCTTGCTCTGTCTTCTTCAGAAATCCCTTGACCCAGCCAGAGCCTGGTTCCCTGGGCACACTGTCACTCTGACTGGCCTCCCCATTTCTGCCAAAGGCACCTTCTCTTCTAGCGCCCTCTCTTGTCTCCGATGCACAAACCCACACCCCTGGCTCAGCTGCCCCAACACCTGAAATACCACTGCCCCCACCACCCACCCCAGCTCTTTCCCATCACCTGCTTCACGACAGTAGCATGAGAGGTCCCCAAACACTGGGCTGTTTTTTTCTTTTTGGGTGTGTTGGGTCTTTGTCGCAGCCAGTGGGCTTCTCTAGTTGTGGTACCTCGGCTTAGCTGCCTGACCAAGGCAGCCTGTGTCCCTTGCATTGAAAGGCGAATTCTTTACCGCTGACCACCAAAGAAGTTCCTCCAGGCTATTTGTCATTCCCAGGAGGCTCTGTAGACCCCTTGGTACTGTACCCTTTCTTACTCCCTTCCTGGCTCCTAAATTCAGGCCACTCTAGAGTTCTCAGAGGGCATTCCGCAAAATCACTTTGATCCTTGGACCTTTCCCCTCCCCTTCTTACTCTAAATTAGGCATCAGCAAACTTTCTTTAAAGGGAATGTAAAAGTTATTTGCACGTGGAATCTCAAATATGACACAAATGACCATATCTAAGAAACAGAAACACACTCAGACACAGAACAGACAGAGGGAGGAGGAATGGAGTGGGAGTTCGGGATTAACAGATGAAAACTATTATATATAGGATGGATAAGCAACAAGGTTCTAGTGTATAGCACAGTATTCAATATCCTGTGATAAACCATAATGGAAAAGAATATAAATATATATATATTAAAAACTCAATCACTTCGCTGTACAGCAAAAATTAACACAATGTTGTAAATCAACTACACATCATCAAAAAAAATTCTTTTAATATTTGTATTAGCTTCCTATTGCTATTATAACAAATTACCACAAACTTAATGACTTGAAACAGCACAAGGGAATTACCTGCTGGTCCAGTGGTTAGGAATCTGCACTTTCATGGCCATGGCCCGAGTTCAATCCCAGGTTCCTGGTTGGGGGAACTGAGATCCTGCAAGCTGCATGGTGCAGCCAATTAAATATATATATATATATATATATATATATATATATATATATATATATATATACTGCTAAGTCACTTCAGTCTTGTCCGACTCTGTGCGACCCCATGGATGGCAGCCCTCCAGGCTCCCGCATCCCTGGGATTCTCCAGGCAAGAACACTAGAGTGGGGTGCCATTTCCTTCTCCAATGAATGAAAGTGAAGAGTCAAAGTGAAGTCACTCAGTCATGTCTGACTCTTAGCGACCCCATGGACCACAGCCTACCAGGCTCCTCCATCCATGGGGTTTTCCAGGCAAGAGTACTGGAGTAGGATATATATATACATATATATGTATATATATACATACACATACTTTCTAGTGATCAGACATCCAAATGGGTTGTAGTTGGCTAAAACCAAAGTGTCAGCAGGGCTGCATTCCTTCTGAAGGCTCTAGGGTAGGAAGGGGAATCCATTTCCTTACCTTTTCCAGCTTCTAGTGGTTGCCCGCCCCTTCTTGGCTCCCAGCCCCTTCTATCTTCAGAGTGCATCACTCCAACTTCTTTAGTCATCACATCTCCTTATGCGACTCTGACCACCCCCCCCACCACCACCACCACTCCCTTATTGATAACCTTGGGCCCAAGCAGATAATCAAGAATAATTTCCCCATCTCAAGATCCTTAACATAAGTATATCTTCAAAGTCCCTTTTGCCATAGAAGGTAACTTATTCACAGGTTCCACAGATTAGGACATGAACATCTTGGGAAGGTCATTTTTCCGTCTACCATACAATCTCGCTTCATACAAAACCTGGCAGAGGTTACAGTGTGCTCCATCAATTTCACTCCTAGGTACACATCCCCCCAAAAATGAAACCAGGGACTCAAACACATGATTATATACCAGTATTCACAGAAGCATTATTCACAACAGCCAAAAGGTGAAAACCATCAATGGATCAATGGATAAACAAACTCTGATCTATTCAAACAACTGCTTATTATTCAGCCTTAAAAATGAATGAAGTTCTGACATATGCTACGGCCTGGCTGAACCTTGAAAACACGATGCTAAGTGAAAGTCAGATACAAAAAGTCACACGTCGTATGACTCCACTTCTATGAATGATCTACAATAGGCAAACTCATTGAGACAGAAAGTAGATTAGAGGTTACCAAGGGCAGGGGGGAGGGGAGATGGGGAGTTATTGCTTAATAGTGGGTATGGAGTTTCTGTTTCGGGTGATGGAAACTTTTGGAAATAGTGGTGGTGTTTGCGCAACATCATAAATGTAATTAATGGGACTGAATCGTGCACTTTAAAATGGCAAAGTTACCATTCAGGTGAACACACAAAAATATAAAAATGGTAAATTTTATGTTATATGTATTTTACCACAGTTTTTTTAAAAGTTTAAAAAAAAAGGGGGTCAATAGGTCTAGATTTGACTCGTGGGCTATAGTTTGCCTGACTCCATAGGTGAGGGGAAGGGGGTTGTTGCAGTTTAGGTTTCACAGCCCAGCAATCTAATCATCTTGTATGCCTGCTGCCTTCTGAATCCAACCCTCCACCTGTCCTGCCCCTACCCCCACCCCTGGATCTGCACAGCACTGGGAAAAGGAAATCCCACCATCTTACTTTTAAATGCTGGACCAAGATCCTCAAGTGACTCCTTTGCATGGCTGGCCATCCCCTCATATGCCCCTGGTCCCTCCTCCCTCCCTTCCCAAGGCTCCTATCACTGCCTCTGCCTCCCCCTGGTACCTGGAATCTGCCATCCGGCCAGCACCTAGATGTGGGTCCATGTTCTGTCCGTGCCTGGAGAACCCCTCCACGTGTATTCTTCAAAGATGACTCTCCAGCGACTGTCCGCCTTCCTGCATCCTTCCCTCCTGCCCCCTACTGGCTCATTCCCACGTGGAGAACAAGCCATCTTATTCCCAGTTAAAAACAGGGGAGTCCCTGGCGGTCCAGTGGTTAAGAGTCCATGCATTCACTACCGTGGGACTGGGTTCAATCCCTGATCAGGGAACTAAGATCCCATCAGCCCCGCAGCTTGGCCAAAAAGAAAAAAAATCAGACAATCATACATTCCCTTCCAGCTACCACTCTTGACCTCAAAACTCCCTGAAGTGGCTGCCTATGCTCACTTTCCCATCCTGCTCACTCCATCTATGAAAACTGCTCTCACTGGTGACTCCAAGGAGCTCTGTTTCCTTGAAGAGGAAAACACTGTATCTAACTTTTTAAATTTTTTTCAGTTGCCCTGTTTAGGGATCGAACCCGGGCCCCCTGCAATGGAAGCAAGGAATCCTAACCATTGAACCACCAGGGAAGTCCCTAAATGATCTTCTTGAAGTTCTTTTCTGCTTGGCATCTGAGATATTCTGGGGCCATAGTCTTCAGACCTCATCTCTGTCTACACACACTCCCCACTCTTTGGACCACAGAGTTTCCAGAAAGGACTCGAGGCCATGCAGTGTGATTGAGAATCCAGGAGGTTCTGCCCCAACCCCAGCTCCTGGTGTTATCAGGGTGGCCGCAGTCGAGTTCCTTAACCTGAATCAGCTTCCTGGTCTATAAAACAGAGGCCATATAGTACCTAGCTTGCAGGCTGGCTGTCACAAGAAGTCACCGGCACACCTGGTGTGCGTAGTATTAATAAGCGGTATTTCCTGGTATCACTGGTTTGCCATGGGTGACAGTGGCCAGAAGTAGCTTAGCTGGCCCAGGAGAAGGACAGGGTTCGGTGATGTGCGGGGGAGGGACAGAGGAGGGGCCCAGCTTTCTCCTTCCCCTGCTCAAACTTGTCACAGTGATGAGACTTCCCTGGCAGTTCAGTGGTTAAAACTGCACTTTCAATGCAGGGGCTACGGGCTCAATCCCTGGTTGGGGAACTAAGACCCCCATATGCTTCGTGGCACAGCCAGAAAAAAACTTGTCACAGTGAAAGAAAGCAAGCGTGTTGCAAGGTTCTTTTCTGTTGAACGTGGTGCTCACCTCCTTCATCATAAAGACACTCACAGGTAGGATCTGGTGTGAAAACTGGCCTGCAGACAGTTTGCCCTTTAAAGGGGAAGTCTCT